GGTAAATAAAGTTGTTGTTTAATGGGTAGTGAAGTACAAATTTAAGTTATTCTATTAGTACCAAGGATTCTTTGGCAAGGTTGAGAACACTTTGACTATCTGCACCCATTAGTAATAGCAAGGGACCGTTAGTAATTTAGTATTAATTTATTACAAGGAGTGGCCGTATGCTTTCCTTATAGGGGATATAATAAAATTTTATGATTATTTCACAATTACGTTGGATGTTGGTCATTGATTTAACAATCCATTTGAAGAATGAATGTGTGTAACTCGATTACAAATAGATGAATTTAATTTTTTTGTGCTAATAATAATACAATTTTGCAAGGAAAAAGTCTAATCTGCTTTTATTTGAATGGTTAAAATAAAATTCTTATTTGAATTATTCTTAATCTTAATATTATTACCATGAATAAAAATTTTTTGGCGAAAGGAAAGTTTCATGTTTACTCTGCATTATCCATTCTTAACAAAGGAAAATTTATGGATTTTTTCTGATCGCTAATAACGTGGCGTGGCCTTACAGAGGTCAAATTTAATATATTTGGGAATCAAAAAAAAGTGACAGTGACTATAAGTGAAATGTGACCTTATAGAGGGAGTTTTATTATAATGAAAAAGTGCGACCTTAACAAAATGTGACCTTAGAGGGTGTGTGACCTTATGGAGATGGTCTGATTGTCATATGTGATTAACATTCAAATTTCGGACTTTTGTTGTCAGTTATAGGACCATATTTTAATTTTGACAAATTTGTATTACATAATTTTTAAATAACATAAATGTTAGATACTCAACCCGAAGAAACAAAAGTCTATTCAAGTTCTGTAAATTATTTACTTACAACTGATACTGCTGAGAATGATCAAACTTTATCAAATAGATTTAACTCGCATGACAATATTACCAATAGTAAAATTATTAATAGCAGCGATAATGATGATATCTTAGAATATGAGACTTCCTCAGGAAGTAGTAGTAGTATACAACAAGCTTCAAGCGATAATGAACAAAGTTTTAAAAATAATAAAGATCGCGAAGAAGCAATTACTGAAGAAATTAATTCAATGAAGTCAGATTCACATGTAACTGATGATAATAATGATAGGATGTGTAGGATATGTTTTTCAGGTCCTGAGGATGAAGATAATTTGGGACGATTGATATCACCATGTCGTTGCAAAGGATCAATGAGGGTAATTTTACAATATAAATTCTTATTATGATATCATCTTCGAAAAATTTTTTAAACATTTCTTTAATCAAAAAAAAAAATAATTAATTAGTATGTCCATGTTGAATGTTTAAATCGTTGGAGGTTGCGTAGCTTAAAGCGAACAAGTTTTTTTCAATGTGATGAATGCAAATACAAGTACGCATTTCGTCGAACAACAATTGCAAAATATGTTACAAATGAATGTAAGGATTATATTTATATTTACAACTATATTTTTATGTGCATTTTAATTAATGAATTTTTTCTAATTTCATTCACATTATCATATACAACACACACACATTTATTATATTTAATAATAAAAAATTAGTTATTCTTACATTTGTAACGATTTCTTTTTTTGCATTTTGTGTTTTCTTTGGTGGTTTTATAGCAAAAATTTTCTTTTATTTTTATCCACCTGTCTCAGAGGATTTATTATTTAATGATGATGGTGATATAGCGGATGAAGGGGCAGCAACGACAATTAATAAAGAGATGTTCACAATTTCAAATCTATTCACCATTGATTCTTCTCATTTAATATTAGGAATAATGTTTGTAGGACTTGTAGGATTCATACAAATATTAATTTCAATAATGTGGTTTGGACCTTTTCCAACTTTGAATACTTATAGATTTGGAACCGGTGGAGGAGGTGGTGGTAGAATTAATGGACGTGTCGATATAATCACAACAGCATTTATTTCAATAATTATTCTCCTAGGTGTACTTAAAGCTTTCTGGGGAATGTATAAAATGGTAAAAAGTGCTAGTCGAAAGATTTTAGAAAGAGTTGAATTGACAATTTTAGAAGTTAATGAAGCTGCATCATGAAGATTTATCATTATTAGTTTGTAATATTAGTTTGTACAGAGTTGAATAAATTATTCAATTATCATTTAATATTATTTTTTTTTGCATAAAAAATTTTTTAATGCAATAATTTTTTCAAATAGTCCATTAACAAATAGCATACAACACAATTTTATATATTTTTTTTAAAAAAAAAATCCAAGCCTTATTAAGTTAATTTGAACTCCCTTATAACTTAAAGCTACATCAAGATTCATTATTTTGCTTGTTTTCAAAAATTTTACACTCACTATAATAATAACGAGTTTCACAAAGAGTCTTTCAAGTAAAATTAAAAAATAAACAGATAAATTATTGAAGATGGAAAAACTAAGATAATAAATCAATTTCCTGATGAAAAACAAAAAAGGAAAGAGGGTTATTGCCAATTTTAACAAAATTAAAAAAAGATTACCTACCCAAAATTCCTGTTGTAGAATTTTTTAACTTCAACAGATTTTATGAACCAGAAACCCTTTGATTCAAGAAATTATTGAATCTCGTGGCCATAAGCGATATTTGGGCACGAAAGGACCAAACCCCAAAATCGTGATCAGGAACGATGATCAATGGTTGGTTTTCAGGGTTCAAATTTAATCATCACAACTCACTTGCTCAATAATTACAAAGAAAATTATTAATATTAATAATGATTTATTGTATTACGAATAGAAACCAACTATTACTCTTGCTTTCTTTGTTGTACCTTTTATCCCACTACGAGTATTACCTTTTTTTTTTTTGTCATACCAAGTAATGAAGATGAACCTATCTCAACCAAGTGTCTATGCCACTGAATTCTGCACTGAAATTCCAGGCGCAAAATAAATGTTTAAGAGAGAAATTTTTTTATCATCTTAGTTGGTTCATATCACTATGGTGAATTAGAGTCAGTATATATAATTGGATGTTTAATCAAATTACATATTTTACCATTAATCTATCGGAAAATATGTTGGATTCTATCAATAAAGAATCCTCGTCAGTGATGTTATACCACAAATGGTGTTTCCATCAGCATCATTCGTTATGCACAAATGTGAGGAAAAAGGAAAACCTCCGATTCAAAGTATTTCTCTGCTTTGGTACAAAAATTAAAATTGTAAAATATTTATTATTTCAAAACATTGTTGTAAAGTTTTAAGAATAAAATAAAAAGATAAGATAAATAAATAATTTATATGAATAAATTTATAATGGAGATTAAATTAATCATCCATTGATGTTTCAACATCTTTTCCCTTACTATTATTGTTATTATTACTAGAATCTAATTATTAATATTATTAATTTGTTAAACAAGAATAAAAAAGATTGTTAGTAATAAATAAATTAACAATTAATAATTTAAATTAATTTATTAATGAAATTTGTATTTATTTACCATTTTTAAGATCAATGTTTAAGAGAATAGAGTTAATATCAAGATTATTTAATGAACTGTTGTTACTTGTATAACTTTTTAAACTTTTTGACTTGGTAATTTCATCATCTAATATTCTACTTTTATGATATGCATCTGGATGTGATTTGTGTGCTTGTTGTGAATTACTACTACTACTGCTGCTGCCATCATGATTAAAATCAACTTTTTGTATTAAACTATCATTGCTACTATTATTATTTTTCAAACTTTCATTTTTAAAAATTTCATCTAATTTATTATCAGCAAAATAATAAAGCTCACTAATAGTTGGTCTTTTAGATGGATCCACATCCCAACATTTCTGCATCATTTGTACATAGTCATCAGGCATCCCAGGTAATATTGGTGGTCGTAAACCTTCACATATATCAAAAATTAAACGATGATTATGACCTCTATCATCAAATGGTGGATGGCCTGCAAATATTTCCCACATTAACATCCCAACACTATAAATATCTGTTTCTTTTGTGTTCTTTGTATTAATTTTGCCTCTAAGTAGCTCAGGTGCAACATATGATATAATCCCGTAGATTTTATTTGATGATTTTTCATCAACTGGTCCACATAATCCTAAATCTGTAATACAACAATTACCTCCTTGCAATAATATATTGCCACAATGTACATCACAATGGATTAAATCTTTTTCATGTATATCATCTAATGCATCACATAAATATCTAAAGATTGTAATTCTATTTTTTAATGTTAAATTAGAATGATTTTTTTGTAAATAGTCCCTTAAATTTCCTTCTTGATGATGATTAAGAACAATTGCATAATTTCCATTATCTGGGAATTTAGTTATACCATAGCATTCAACAATCATTGGTGATTTAATTTATAATAATTCATTGCCTGTAATTGAATATAAAATCTATTAGTATTATATAATACAATGTTATTTAAATAAAAATTACCAACCTCATCAAAAAATGTTTTTCCTGGATTGCTTGAATTATTTAAACTTTTTAATACTACTAGTTGCCTTCCAAAATAATTAAATTCCTTTTTATTTTCATCATAATCGTCAATACATCCCCTTGTCCATTCTGCAGTAAAAATTGAACTAAATCCACCTTCTGTCAACTTTGTCACTTTTTCAAATTGCTCAAAAGGTATCCATTCTAAAATATATCCTGGTAGAGATGATTTCATTTGACATTGTTGAATAAAATTATCAATTATGTTATTTCCAGATGTCCAAGTATTGAAAAGACTCTGTAGTTGTAAACTAATACAACCTTCACAGAATCTATCAGAGTATCTTGTTATTTTACACTTGTTACATTCTTTTGGTTTGCCAAGTTTATCAATTACATTATTTTTTTCAAAACTATAAATGAAATGTTCTCTACAATATTCTCTTTCATTCTCAGAAAGCTCCTTATTTTTTTCAACTAATGAAAAAAAATAATCTTTTCTACCTTCAGAACTTTTAGAATTAGCCAGAGCATTATTATACATTTCTTTACGAATTTTTAAAGCTCCGAACGGTTCGGTTCAAACCGAAAAATTTCGGTTCGGTTTCGGTTTATAAAAGTCAAACCGAAAAAGTTCGGTTTGGCTGGATCTTCATATTTATATTATGAAAAGTTTCGTTAATAGAGATGTTCGTTATACTATGCAGAGCTTGTTAAACCAAAGTCGCAAAAAAAATCTTCAGCTTAATAAAATCGGCTTATAGAGATGATTTTTAATAAGTAGATAATAAAAAAAAACATTGGTTTATTATCATGTGTATTTCTGTATTTATTTTCAAAGCATCATCTTGTTGAGTTCTGAATGTAGAGAGAAAAATTAAAATATAAAAAAGAATCGGGGAAGTGCATTATTATTATAGAAAGATATACGTTATAGAGATATTGTATATAAATTCCTTATTTGGTTTATCAAAAAAAAATGTGCGCGCGCGTGTGAAAATTTTTTTTGTTATATATTTATAATAAAAAAATTTATATCAATGGATAATGAATTCTTTTATGATGCAAATAATGAGGCCTTTTCAGAATTTGTAGCAGCAACTATTATTGCTGAAGGTTCTATTATTTCTGAGGATTCTACCATTACCAAATCTACCATTAACGAATTTACCATTAACGAATCTACCATTACCGAAATAGAAAAAAAAAATATGCATAGATCAATTGTTCATAATAACTTCACTTTAAATAAACAAACAAATCAATATAAATGTAACCATTGCAGGTAAAATCTATAAGTCAATAATATTTTTTTTTGGATAGAAAAAAATGAAATAATAATTGTTTAATGAATATTCTAGTAAATTGTACAAAGCTCAAAGGGATGGTTCGACGTCAACTCTTAAAAACCATTTAAAAAAGTCTCATGCAAATTTATTTAGTAAAGAAGTTGGACCAATTGATATTTTTTTAAAATCAGAAAATAAATTAGTATGTATAATTTTAATCATTTATATTTAATAGAATACAAATTCAAAATCAATATATATTAATATTTTAAAAAATAATTAATGATTTTGGTAAGAAATTTACTCAAGAAAGTTGGAATAATGATTTAATCAAATGGATTGTTACATCTGATCAACCTTTTACAGTCATTGAAAGTAATTTCTTTAAAACTATGATCAAAAGACTTAAACCTGAAGCAAAAATTTTTTCTGCTGATACTATACGTAACAATATTTTTAAATCATTCAATGAAAATCTAATTTTTATAAAGAATCTACTTCAAGAAGTACCTGGACAAATTTCATTTACACTTGATTCTTGGACGTCAAAGAATCAAGTTCCTTTCCTTGGTATAACAGCACATTGGATTTCAAAAGATTGGGAGCTCAAAAGCATTCTTCTGGATTTTTGTCACTTAGAGGGTTCTCACTCTGGTGAGAACATGTCTGAAGTATTTTTTAAAGTTTTGAAAGAATTTGGTATTTTAACAAAAGTTAGTTATTTAATAATTAAATGAAAAATCATGATTAATATTTAATTTTAAAATCATAATTATTCTATGTATGTGTAATTTGGAAAATTTTTCAATTATTCAATTGTTTTTTTTTTTATGTAGATTTTAGGCATAGCCACAGACAATGCAAGCAATATGAATTCAATGTTTAATTGTTTGGAACAGGCTTTTTGTAGTGAAGGAATTCATTTTGATGCAGGGAACCAAAGAATACGCTGTTTGGCCCATATAATCAACTTGGCAGCTCAAGAAGCCTTAAAATCACTTAAAGGAATGGGTCCAGAAAAAGAAGATGATGCTTTAGATGAAGAAGATGATGACAAAATTAATGTTATCAAGAAGGTAAAATGAAAATTTTTTTATTAACTTTTTACTATTTTATTAATTAAAATCATTTTTATTATAGCTTAGAAAGCTAGTTGTTAAAATAAGAAGCTCTCCACAACGACGTGAACGTTTTAGTCGCCAATGCATTGCATTAAATATTAATGATTTGCAATTGATCCCTGACATCAAAACTCGTTGGAATTCTAGTTTTGAGATGATGAAACGTGCATTACTTCTACGTGAGGTAAAATTATTGTTTTAATATTTAATTTGTGAACTTTCTCAAAAATTAATTCTTTTCATTTTTTTTATTAGCCACTTCATAATATGGTCTCAGCTGACAAAGAACTTAAATCATACATATTATCCGATAATGATTGGCAAAGAATTGAAAAAATTTCTAATTTATTGGAGGTATATAGTTTGATTTATATTTTTAAATTTTCAAAGGTGTATTTATTAATTTTTATTTTTTATAGTGCTTTCAGATTGCGACATCCGAAATTAGTAATGCTCATTATCCTACTTTAGGACGATCGGTTCCTATATACAATTACTTGATTGATTTAATTGAAGATTTTCTTGAGTTACAACATCCAGAAGATATTTGTAGTGCAGCAGAGAAAGCTAAAGATAAATTGCAAAAATTTTACCCAACTTCGGATGGGTTAGTTTACATAGTTGCAACCAGTATGCATATAAATATACACATCTATATTTGTTTGTTTATTTTAATAAAATATAAAATGTTAATTGCTATAAATATTTAATAGTCATGGACCCTCGTCTGAAAATGCAGTATTACATAGACAATGAATTTGATGACTATATTGAAATGTATAAAGAAAAAATTTCAGATTTATGGAAAATGGAATATATGCCAATCCAGGAGTGTAATACTACTATTCAAACCACCAAAACACCAAATACACTTGAATCTCACATACTCAAAAGACGTAAAAACATTCAAACAGATGAACTTGACATGTATTTGAACAGTCCTCCATTAAATTTTGATACAGATGTTTTGTCATTTTGGAAGGTAAAGACTTTACAATATTATAAATTACTTATATATCAAGTATATAAAAAACATTTAAAATTGTTTTTTAGGCTCATGAAATGGAATATCCTAATTTATCAAGAATAGCTAGAGACTACTTGGCAATCCCCGGTATTCTAATTTTTTGCACTCTGCTTATTTAAGATTAGATTTATTAATTTCTAATAAACCTATTACTTATATAGCCACTAGTGTCCCAATTGAACGGGTTTTCTCTGGGGGCACAGACTTAATTAATCAAAGGCGATGTAGTTTAGAGCCTAAAACAATAAGAATTTGTATGTGCTTAAAAAGTTGGTTGTGGCAATGAATTTGTTTTAATAAATAAATAATTTGTAAATGGATCTTCATTACCACAGTCGAACCTCGTTATAACGAAGTGTAACCTAATTAAATACATGTTATAACGACTTTTAACATTTTTGAAATCCGTTATAACGTGACTAATACTAATAAATTTATTATTATTATAACGGATTTTTAAATATCTAAAATCCTTTATAACTTCATGTATATAGAAGCAGGATCCTTCCAGCATTTTTACTTCGCAACATACATTCAGCCACAAGTCATTATAAGTTATTATGTTATGTTTATTTTTGCATAGTTAACGAATTTGGGATACCTGAAATTTTTGGTTTAAATTAAAATGTAAACCGAACCGAAACCGCATTTTCGGTTCGGTTTCGGTTTGGGCATTGAACCGAACCGAACCGAACCGTTCGGAGCTTTAAATAAATGTTCGACTATTCGAATATTCTATTATTCTATTATCTATTTGGTACTATACCAAATCAGCAATGATTATCATGATAATTAAATTTCATGAGAAAAATCCCTCATTTCGTATTCACTTAACACAAACAGAAAATTTTTTATGTATATATATAGTTATTTTAACGTCAGGAAATTCACCCATAATATTACGCCTGTAAGCTTTAGTAGATTTAATACATAGAATGAGCATTTAAAATTCATCTAGTTGATAAGATTGTACTAGCTTATTATGAAAGAAATTTCTCAAAGAATATACATATCTGTACAGTGGTAAAACAAGTTAATATCAAAAAGGGTGATATCTGCAAGTTTCTACAATGCTGTTATTGTGGTGAAATTGAATATATATAACAATAATCGGATACCTCTTTAACCAACAGAGAAATGATTCCGTATTGCTGAATCAGTCAAGAATTCATCTACACCAACAATTTTACCCGAGAACCCTAACTGAATTGATGAAAATAATTTGCATTCTAGAATCTAGTATTGCGCATATTAACTTCCCAATACCTATAGTTGTGGAAGAAACAAAAAAGAAGAAATCCAAATCCATTCACATACCTGATTCACCTTCCGGTAATAATGGCTCGACAGAAAAGGTAGGTGGAATATCTTTCAAAGAAAATGCACTCTGTGCATTAGAGACAAAAAAGAAACCATATCTTCTTCATTGCCTAATATCTTGCAAGAGTCAGAAGATATTTTACTGTTGTATAAGCGGATAAATAAAGAGATGAAAAAAGTCAGATCTCGGAGTCGTACTCTTACTTCATAGATAACTAGAGCCAGTTTTACCAACTTGTGTTAGTGGAAATAGCCCTGCTAATAAGTTATCATATCAATCTTGCAAGTTATTATAATACCCAATCATTTCAGAAACCGATTGAATGCTAGTAAATAATGCTTTCAAGTTCTTTTCACAGTTTACTCTCATAATTTACACTTTTTTTTAATTCTGTATCTGGCTCTTTGGAAATAGATGGAATTGCATTAATGTGATGTACCTCAAGCTTATTTTCAACTCTGTGCATAGTGACTGGGATGTAAAAATCTTTCCCATTGACAATTAAACTTCATTTCGGATTTAAGCCAACCCATAACACATCCATGTTTTCCAAGGAAAGGATTACTCAATATCAACATAGACTTGGTATTCAATAACCACAAAATCTAAATACACAACCGGAACTAGGGCTAACGGTTATGCATGGGATGGTAATTGTTTTGCCAAAAACGTAATAGTAATACGTAATACGTAAATTACGAATACAAAATGACGAAATTAATTACTATTACTATTACGGGCGACGAAATAATAATGGTCAAAATCAAAATTATTTATTAATTATAATTAAACCTGAATAAGAATTTTGATTTATTATATTTATTTATTTAACAAAAATATTTAAATAGATTTTTTCGAATTAGTATAGTTCTTAACGTATTTAAATATGATGATTGGGCAATGAAAGATATATACATCAAAACATTTAAGTGTGCAAGTATAAATTACGTGATAAATAATAATTGGATCAATACATTTTATTTTGCTTTTACACATAATAAGGTACATATATAACTTTACATTGTTGTTACGTGACCACCAAAAACATTATTTAGCGATTATACAACACGTCACTTTAGTTTAGTGGTGATTATGGCACTGCAATGCATCACTCTAGTTATAATTAACAAGATTCCCCATTGATTTCAATTTCATGAACATGAATTTAAAATTCATCCACAACTTTGGTTCAAGTTCTAAATTCTATTCATTGACTGATCTTAACAAATTTTTTTTATGTTGGTAACAGAGAAGCAAATCAGGAGGATGATAAATTATTGTCCAAGAATGACAAGAATGGTGAAACTAAAGGAAAAAAGAGCTGCTGTTAATTGAATTTATTGGATTTGATGATATTGATATTAGTAATATCTTTGTTTCTAGTGGCAATACGATTATTGACTCCAAATTAGGAACATCCTTTAACATTTTTCGCCAAAACAATTATTACAATTGTTCCATAAACCACATGATGAATTATCGTCTGATGAAGAAGACATATTGATGAGGAAATGGAAATTGAGAAGGAAACTGAAGGAAATTGATGATGTAAATTTTTTTCTGTCTTTTCAGAAATTCAAATTCAGATATTTTCACATCACTTACATCATGATCAAAATAGAACATAGACAAAAGAAGAAGAACAAGAGAGTTGGAATTCAGTAAAGCTGCATTCGAGAGACTGGTAAGAGAGATTGTAAAGGATGTGAGGCTAGGGGTAAGGTTTCAATCAGGTGCTATTAGTGACTTGTAAAAGGTACAGCTTCTTTTTCAACCAAAGAATTGATTTTTTTTAAAAACACCAAGAATTAATCTTAACATTCAAAAAGGTAATTGAAACACGATCAAGACATCTGTTCAGAGATGCGTATATACAATATCAAGTTAAAAAATTAACACTAAAATATAATTTCACTAATCACCTGCAATGTATGCGAATAAGGAAGAAATGTGGCCAGAAGATTTGAGATTTACTGCTGAATTTAGAGAGGGAGCAAGGATAGAGACATTGACAGATTTATAAATTTTAAAATCATTTAAAACATTTTACAAAAACAAACATTTAATAAGCTTAGTATGGATGATCATTAAATTATGATGAAGATAATGATGGTAGATTTTTTTCATATGGTTCTTCTCCATCTATCAGTATTGTGGTGTAGGACGAGCTATATAACATCAATTGTATCAACTTATTCAGTTTTTCTTCTAACATGTAGCACATCTACAATGTGATCTAACAAAATCATTCATATTAACAGTCATTTATTGGTGCTTGTTTTTTTTTAATTAACTTCTTATCTCTCAATTTCAAATGTTATATCATAAAAAATAGAAACAAATAATATATATCTATATATATCTATTTTAAATTTATAAAGTTGCCAAAAGTGTTAATCCAATTAAAACTTATTTTATTTTATTTTTTAGAAAATCTTTTTTTGCACTTTCAAATGTGTTTCGTAATAACATTGCAACAGTCATTGGTCCTACGCCACCAGGAACTGGAGTTATATAAGATGCTACTTTTGATGCACCAACAAAATCTACATCTCCTACCCATCTTACACCATATTTTTTACTAGGATCTAAATAATATATATTTTTAATAAAAAGTTTCATATATATATGTTTGTGTATGTGTACTAAAATAATTGTATTTAACCTTTGATAGGATTTGTTCCAACATCAATTATTATTGCACCAGGTTTTATCCAATCACCTTTTATAAATTTCGGCTTTCCAATTGCCACAACAATAATATCTCCAGTTTTAACCTGTAATATACACATATACATATAAATATAATATTTGAAATATAAATAATATCGATATACAACTAAGAATGTGTGTAATTAATTTGATACAAACAATTTCATTTAAATTTTCAGTTTTGGAATGACACAAAGTAACTGTAGCATCTAGATGAGATAGTGATAAAAATGTTGGAATTCCCTAATAACAAAATAAAATAAAAAAGGCATAATTAACCTTAATTTCCTCCATAAAAAAACCATTTGTAAATATTAATACTCACAACTACATCACTACGCCCAATTACAATTGCTTGTTTACCTCTAATTTCAATTTCTATGATATAAATATTAATATATTTATTTATTTATTCATAATAAAATAATAATAATTTTTTATTACCAGCTTGATTTAACAATTCAATGATTGCTTTTGTTGTACATGGTAAAAATAAAGGTTGATTACTTCTTTTTGCCAAACTTCCAATATTATAAGTATGAAATCCATCAACATCTTTATTTGGATCAACAGATTCAGTAATAGTTTTTTGATCAATATGATTTGGTAAAGGAAGTTGTACTAAGATTCCATGAATCGATGAATTATTATTATATTCACTTATTATTTTCAATAACTATAATTAAAGTAATAAAAATTACTATTATTACAATTTTTATTAATTATTTTTATCTATTTATTACATTATTAAATATACCTCATTTTCTGTAATATTTTCATCCTTTTTACATAATGTATACTTGATTCCAACCTAAAAATTATTGTTAAAAAAACTTTTTTATTATAGTTGATGAATTATTATTATTAGTTTATTTTGTAATATTAATGATTCTTAATCACTTCTTGTGCAGCTTTTTGTTTTTGTCGAACATAAAGATTAGAATCCTCTCTATTACCAACTTGTATGATGACAAGATGTGGTGATATTATTGTTGAGGTCATTCTGGACCTTTCTTTGATTTCTTTGGCTAATAGATCTCTTATATTTCTAAATAATAAATTTGTTAAATTATTAATTAAAATTATTAATTGAAACCTTGGATATAATTTATCCATAATTTTTTTTTTTTACTTTGCTATAATTGTTCCATCAATTATCTTTGCTATATTATTTTTATTGGTAAAGGATCTATTAAGAAACTTATCATGATTTTTTATTTTTTTATGATAATAATTATAATTCAATAAACGAAAATTAAAAAGTTTTATTGAATTAACGCGGCTCATCAGAAAGCTGTAGTAAGGATAATTCTGCAAATCCTTACTCTTGATATATTAGTAAAAAGATCGTCACATCGCCACTTCATTCATGCTGTAATAATAAGTAAACCTTACTATTGATTCCTCCAAAGAAACTAGCAACTTGTAAATTTGTAAAGCATGATAATTGTTTTCTAATGACACGAAAAAGTTATATTGACTTGCTGGCTGCTATTTCTATTCAAGAATTACAACTCAAAGATGCATTAATTAATTAATTCACTGCATAATGAAAAATTTATATAAAATTAAGATTATATATTATTTATATTATGCTATTGGTGAAAAGTATTTGATAAATGATTATTATGAAAATTTAAAAAAATTTAACAATGCTCTTCTTACTGTAATTCTGGATAATTTTCTTGACAATTTAAGAAACCAATTGTGCCTTCGCATAAACATTTAGAAACTATCAATTCAAAAAAGTTAATATATTGCATGATTCTGACTGACAGGATCATGTAATATTCGTGATAAATACATTCTAATATCATTTGTTGGTCTTGTGATGTAGAATATTTTTGTCTCTTGCTTTATACATAAAAATTGCATTAATAATTATATTCTTGTATCAATTTATTGATTATTATTTCTCTATCGTCGGTATTTACTTGTTAATGTTAATTTAAGAATATCCGGAAAAAATATAATAATAGACTTAAAGAGGTATTCGATTCGCGTGATATATGGACTGATAATAATGATGAATTGTCATCTTCCGTTAGAAGAAAACAGGTGAATATTAAAAACAAATTAAAAGTTGTACATATCAATACATTTTGGATCTTGAATTTGATTCTTCATCTTCTATGTGCAGCAGTGAATATTCAAGTCTTTCAATTTTATCAAATTCATCATCAGTCTTGTCTGTAGAAAAATCAGGTAATAAAAAAAATAATAATTATTATTTTGCTCATACTCTAAGCAAGGCAAGAATTTGTATTGAATTATACCATAGATAATGAATGGTTAGTCCTTCAGATGGATTAAATGTATTATTTAATTTTGCATAAACCAGAGACAAAATTATTTTCAAAATATTAATATGCTGTTCTGAGACTAAATGTGATATTTTTGATATATTTTATTACCATTTATAATTTGTCATTATTATATATAGTGTTATTATATATATTTTTTTTTTCCAAATAACTTGTAGTAAGATTTATTAGAATATAGGGAAGAGGAATCAGATAAAAATGGAGAATGTTTTTTCTTACGCCAACAACATATCTATTAATTATTAAAAAAAAGACGATGATGAACAAATTGTTCATCCGAATATAGTCTTTGTCCTATAGTTTTCTGGTTCTGAGGACAAATTTACAATTGCACTCAAAATCTACTTTAGGAGAATAATATATTTATTTGAAAAGAAAATAATTTATCATAATGAACCTACAAAATAAATATAAAAATAGAATAATCCTCTATTAAGAATGTTTTTTAAAGATTAATGAATCAATCATTAATAATAATAATATTTTTTCCCTATATTCTTTGATACATTTTATTTCTAAATTCACCATATATATATATATATTAAAAAAAAAAAAATAAGTTAAAAAGAATAATGATTTTAGATTATATATAATTAATATATTATCTTGACAAAATCTTCTAATATTTCATCACCAAAAAATCAAATCTAAATAGAGAAACGAGTGCGAAAGAAATTTTTATATTAAGATGTATAATTAAAAAATTCAAAGTAAAAACAAATTTGAAATTTACATTATGAAAATCTTTTTTTTTTTTAAGTTGTGGAAGGTGTCACATTAGTCACATTAGGTGATGCATCATTATTATTCCCATGAATTTTTTGGTGACGACGAAGATTACTGACAACTGAAAAGTGACGTCCACATCCTTCTACTGGGCATTTAAATGCTAGTATAAACAAAACAAAAAATATAAATATAAATAATCAACAAGTATCTATTCAAAAATTTATTATTACTTACGTTTTTCACCAGTATGACTATACATATGTGTTTGTAGAGAACTTGGTCTTGTAAATCTTTTTTGACAAATGTCACATTTATATCTTTTGGGAGTTGATGAAATAGTTCTTGAATTAAAGGTGGTCATCATAGCTTGAGGAGAGGATACTCTTGGGGATATTGTTTGTGGTTTATCTGGTGCGCCACCATTATTATTATTATTATTATTATTATTATTATTATTATTATTATTTATTATTATTATTATTAATGTTATTTGTAGTTGAAATACCATTTGTTACAGTAAAACTTGCACCGCCATTCAAAGCAGCAATCGATGCATATTCTTGTGGTGTTGGAGCCATTGCATAATTAGCAGTTTCATGTGGAGCCAAACCAATCGGAGATTGACCATAATAGTTCACTGGAGCAGTAGTAGTCGAGGCAGCAGCTACAGGAGTTAATTTCATTGAAGGATCATTGAAAAGAACAGGATCCAAAGTATGATTTTCGTAAGTTTTTGTTGGTTTTGGAGGGTAAGGACCAAAGGGATAAGTTGAACTATTATTACTAGTCCATATTTCTTCAGTTTTTACAACACAATCGGATGATTCAACGGCAGATTTATCACTAAAGAATAATAGAGAATGGGGAGGAGAAAATGAATATGGAATTCTGATAATCATGATAATCAATGTTTTTAAATGAACTGTAAATTGTTTAACATATACTCTGTTGATGATTTTGGTATAGCATCAAATGCCTTTGTGTTGTTAGATGAATTAATGGTTGCTTTATCTACGTCTCCAGTAGCAGTAACGGTATCATTGGTGGTAGTTTCAGTAGATGTGATGTCAGTTTTAGCGGGTGCAATTTGTGTCGTTGTTGCAGCACTAGCTGATGATAATCTTTTAATTTCATTGGTAGGAGAAAGATTATCACTAGTAGTTGAGGCTTCGTTATTATTATCTTCACCATTATTGTTTACTTTAGAATCATTATCAGAACTATTTGAGGTTGGAGTAGCAGAATCTGATTCACTCATTATTGTTATTTTTATTTGTAGATTATTTTAATATATATATATGTATATATATTTTGCTGATTGTTTTCTGTTGAATGTTAATCTTTATGTCTAAATAAATATTATTTTTTTGCAGATGATAGATGATTAACAAAACAATTTAAAACTCAAATGATAACCATTGAAACTTCCTTTTTTCTTGTAAAAAATAAAAAATAAATAGATTGATTACCTTTTTTTTTTATTCTTTTATATATTTCCTAAATTTAACAAATGTCTTTTTATTAATATTAATATTAATTCTACACTTCAAGTTTTTTTAGTTTGTACAGTATTGAATTTTTAGGAAACAAAAATTTTTATTTGCAAAATTAAAGATTTTATAAAAGGAAAAAAAAAAAGCGAATTTGCTATTTTATATATAAATAAGCATAATAAATTTATCAAAGTATAATGGAGAAATAGAGAAATAGAGACTATGTGACTCGTTTTCTTTTTTTTTTTTTTTTTTTATAGTAATGTATAATATATATTTTTTCTATTTTCCTAAAGAATTGGGAAAATAAAAAAATTAGTTGTGACCAATCATTTTGATCTGCAATTCTAAAAAACGTGATCAAACGATTTGCATATTTTTAAATCATGTGATTACGTTTGCTTATATTTTGGGCCTGCAACTAATGGAAAATTTACAAGGGCGGAGTTGGTAGAATAGTTTTGACTTTCGACTTTGTCTTTTGTTAAATCAGGTTCTTTTTTTCTTTCCACTAATTTGGCAATTAAAATTTTCTTCATTAATAGTGGATTATGATTATAAAAAATTTAAAAACAACTAGAATGATGATGATGATCACAACTATCTTGACAATAACTTACTCATTAGAGGCACTGATATTTTTCTTTTGACACCCATCACAAAATAATATAATAATTCTTTATTCATCCCTGGGACACATAATTTGGAGCTTTTGATAATCCTATTTTATCGTTATCATTATCATTATTGCTGCTTGTATCAAGTGTTTTTACTTACGTCAAGCATTTTTAATTCCGTCAAGGGCTTTTACTTATGTCAAGGGCTTTTCGTGCAATATGTATTATTACTACTAATGTAAAAATATTTCTTTCGGGCCATTCCGATGAAAATAACTCAACCTTATATATTTAACCAAGACTTCCCTATCTACTGTAACCTTCAAGCGATTAAAATCAAACGAAAAGAGATCCAGCGAATTCCAAAAAAAGAGCCCTGCTCATTACTCCTTGATTATTTCTAAATGCATTGAAGTTTATTTTGGTAAATTCATCATCGTCTATTCTACTATAAACAATACCTGTATAGACTTTCTCTCCGCTTGCACTCTTGATAATACATTAAGGATATAATAGATGAATAAGTTTTTGAATGCAAATCAAAAAAAAAAAAGATTTGTATTATTTTGTTTAAGAGTGCGAACCAAATGAAAGATTGATTATATGTATATATATACATATTTGTGGTTAGATGGGTCATTCAAACAAAACTCAATTGTTGTCAAGAAACACCAACCAAGTCATACAAGAGAAAAAAAAGAACAATCCATGATTATGATTTGATTTTATTTCATTGTCCGTTTTTTCTGCCGCCACTATAAAATAAACAAAGCCACACATATTTATAACAAAATAGGTTAGAGATTAAGCATAATCATTAATAATAAATAGTAGTACAGTCAAACCTCGGCATAAAATTCGTTAAACGCGATTAGTAATAATAATAACAATAACGACTTTTAGACTAATTTTCTTATTTTATGTGTCTCCCATAGATTGTAAACATCTCTTCCTCTAATTAACAAAAAAAATGCAAATCTGCGATTTTTTAATAAAATGAGAAGATAATTTTCGTGATCAATAATCATGACTATTACTTTGTCATAATGCTTATTATAAGTACTAAATCAAATATAAACTTTGGGAAGCAGAGTTAGCAAAGAGTAAGTACCCTTTTTTACTTTAGAAATCGAATATTTTCTGTATTTTCTAAAGATAAATCAGATCATTTATCAACCAATAGGATCCCCCCTGATTTTCCATTTAATCTTTGTTTGGTTGGTTCCCTTAAAATCAATTTTTGATTTAATAGAATAGTCCTTTCTGCGCCTATACAGATTCCCATTCCGCAACCTTATTGAATTTAGGTATTGGATTTGATAGATAGTATACACACTCAGTATGATATCTTCACACTTGATATATCAAATAGCTGTGGTTGAAATGGGATATATGATTACATGTACTAATACTAGTTGGGATTCTGTATCAAAAATATATACTAATACTGCAAGTCACCTAGTCGCTGAAACTTTCATTCAGCGTATAAAATTTAAGGCTGGCCGCGTAACTCAAATGAGCAACTTGGCTAAACTGACTAAACTATTTAGTCATACGTTAAGTCAAGTTTAGTCAAGACAATTATTGGGTTTACGCTTGCCAACCCTGGTAAATTCAATGTGACATGATCTACATGCGCACATTCCATAATCGGGAAAAATAATTAATGATATCATTAAATGATTACTCAAAGTATCAATATTTCTCTTTTTTTATTTTTTATTTAAATCTTGTCGAGAGAGTCAACTTGAGTGCTATTTTAAAGAACATGATGTATTATTTGTAAATATTTTTAGTTTCGGGATTTTTTGTTTTATGCATATTTTTCATCGCACAGATGCCGTATAACGTGTCACGCACCGTTGCGCCCTCTCAATTTTCTCACAATATTGATTGTTAACGGAGTTTATGCATAATAGATTAGTATTGTTTAAAAATATACACAGTTTTGTATGGTCGCGTAACAATTCTTTCATTTAAAATAAATTTTGTTTTTTAATGAGAATTTTCACGGATTAAATATTGAATTTATTAAAAAAAACAATAAATAATAATCATAATAATTAAATCAAAATGGAGGCCTTTGATAATAATGAAAATTTCAATGCAACTGCGGCTCCAAGTTCTTTACAAAAACACATTGACAACAATTGTAATAATAAAGTTTTTTCAAAAAATAAATTTCTTAAAATTGATATTCACACGTAAGTTAACTTGGTATTTCTTTTTTTTTTAAAAAAAAAAACATTGTTAACAAGTTGAAACGACACTGGTTGTTAATATTTAGCAATTTCTAATATTTATATAAAAGTCATATACTTCCTAAACATTGGCCAGACTTAAAGAAAAAATATGGATATGGTGGATGGATACAATTGGATCATCATGAACAAGCAAGTATTATTATTATTGTTGTTAATGATGATAATATTTTGATTCAAAACCATCATTAATTGATTAATGCGTATTAGGGAAAAGCTAGAATGCTTCTTGATGGGAAAAATTTTCGTGAGATTAAGTGTAATTGTTGGTCTGCTGATGAAAGAGTACGTGATTGTGATAAAACTGGAGTTGATGTGCAGGTACGAACAAAATTTCAAAAAGGCTTTTTTTAGGAATCATTTTTTTTAATATATAAATAATTTTTCAGGTTCTTTCTACAGTTCCTGTAATGTTTTCTTATTCAGCTAAACCGCAACATACTCTTGATTTAGCAAGATATCTAAATGATCATATCGCACAAGTATGTGCTGAAGATCCAAAACGATTTATCGGACTTGGTACACTTCCAATGCAATCACCTGAATTGGCTGTACAAGAATTAAGAAGATGTATAAATGAACTTGGACTGGTTGGTATACAGATCGGTACTCATATTAATGATTGGAATTTAGATGCCCCTGAATTGGAACCTATATGGGAAACTTGTGAAGAACTTGACGTTGCAATTTTTGTTCATCCATGGGTAAGTGATCAAGAGAATGAATGGATTGGATTGTAGTAAGTTGTTTAAAGAAAGAAGAAGAGGAATTGAAAATTGAAGTTGTAAGTTTTATTTTTATAGATATAAAAATTTCATCAACTGATATATATATATATATATATTACTATATTTAGGATATGGAAACTAAAGGAAGAATGGAAAAATATTGGTTTCCTTGGCATGTATATATATATATATATATATATATATATGCTTTTAAATATTTATTAAACTTTTTTTATTTAAAATTGATCAACAATTAATCAAAGATACAATATTATATAATTATTAGGCTGATTGGAATGGTAGATTGTTATTACAATATGTGATTTTTTTCTATTTAAAAAAATCCCACAATTATCTTACACAATCAAAAATTTTTATAATTTTAGCCTTGTGAGACAACAATATCAATTTGTTCATTGATTTTTGGTGGTGTTCTTGAACGATATCCAAATCTCAAATTTTCATTTGCACATGGTGGTGGTTCTTTTCCTGCAACAATAGGACGTATAGTTCATGGTTTTAATGTTAGACCAGATTTATGTGCTATAAAAATAAAAAAAAGTCCACTGTATGTATTATTATTTGGTTTTTGAGGGGAGGGGATATTTAATTATATATATTAATATTTCCATTCATTCATATTTTAGTGAATACCTTGATCGTATCCAAACAGATTCGCTTGTTCATGATGAAGATACACTTAAATTTCTAATTAAAAAGATAGGGATAGATAGAATAATGCTTGGTAGTGATTATCCTTTTCCACTTGGAGAAGATCATCCTGGTAAATTAATTGAAGATTGTGAATGGTTAACTGATGAAGATAAAGAAAAATTGTTAAGTGGAAATGCTTTAAGATTTTTAGGACTTGAAGGTAAAAAAGAAGTATTTAATGATAAGAATTAGGAGAGGCTAACTAGATGCTGCTGTTACAGTTGGTGTGAAGTTTGATCATTATGACAATTTTAATTTGATTCTCTTTCATTAATTGTAAAATGTAATTAAATGTTTTTTTTCAACTACAAAATATATATAGAAAATAAAATAATCAATTATTGATAAACTTTCATATTTGTTGCAAAAATAAAGTGCAATTAAATTTTTTATTGTAAAAAGCAAGGATAAATAAATAGAAACGCTTGTGTACGTCAAACCTTGCCACAACAGACTATAATTAAATCCTTGTCATAATAAATTTTAAATAAAGTTTCTTGTGTATCCTGTTCATCTGCTATGACTGTATACTTTTAGCTCTATAAATGAGAAATAAATTGTAGGCACTTATAAAGGAAATGTGAGCCAAGGAACCTAATTGATAAACAAAATTTAATCAATTACTCTTTATATGTTGATCCACAAAATTGAGTTTTTTTCCCTCCTGTAAAAGGATCCAAAGAGAATTATTGATAACATGACTTCGATTTTGACCCGATTTTTTTTATTTTCTTTCTTTGAAAAAGAATTCTGCACAATTTGTTATGAAATAAACAATAAATTAATCCACAAGAGAGATTATTAAGAGAATAAATTACTTTACTATTTATATCCCTGTACTCAATGTTGTATCGGGATGAATAGGTCCTATAGAAATTACCAACAGCCAGACAAAATTCAAATCGAGTGTAAAGTGAAAGAGATATATACGTTGAGAAGAAGAATTGGAGGATTGGCGGAGGAGAAGGAGAAGGAAGAATTAGAAAGAGAAAAAAGAGTTGGGGTAGCAGAAGGTAAATAAGCAGAGAAATAAACATAATTGGAGGAACCAACTAGTCGTTGGTGATAATAATAACCTCTCTGTATAAGATTTATCTGTCATCATTTGGTTAACTTTATATATTTCTTTTCTTATATAATATATTGTTGTTATTGCTTGGACTTTATATTGTGGAAAATTAGATCTTTTTTATTTATGGATATATTTATATCGGAAATTAATGATCTAATAGTGATAGTAAATAAATAAATATACCGTTAGTGACAAAGTCACCTAGCAATAGCCCTTTCTAAAAGGAAATCACATTTATTGCTACAATATATCTTGACTTTTCCATTTTAACCATCATTTCGGCCATTAATTTGTTTACTTCCCTGATTTCTTCCTTGTTATTTAAAATTACGATTTGGTAGCTTTAGAGTTTTCATACTTGTGACTTCATCCTCCTTTAGCTCTTTATTGATCATTTCGCGCAGGAAACATTGAGTGAATGTTGTTGAAATCACCAGGTGCTGCTTCCTTCTATGTAAAGAAGAACACGTTTCTTGTTAAAGAGAGAACCACTATAAACGCGCATGTTTTGACAAAGTAAAAATCGATTGGCCATTTTAACGCAATCAAATCTTTGTTTGCAGAACATTCGGGAGATAAAAACATCCAGGGATAAGTAATGATGTATGACGAAACTTTTGACTTTAGTCATTGACGTAACTAAAGTATTGACGAAAGGTAGTTTCTCGTCAATGCCATTTTGACGATTTGACTAAAGTAATAGTCTAGATGTAATTAAAATTGCTTGACGTAAGTAAAATTGCTTGATACAAGTAGCAATAATGATAATGATAAAATAGGATTATCAAATTATGTAATGTAAAAATGTGTGTCCCGGGTATGAATAAAGAATTATTATATCATTGTATGTATGTATATTGCAATGATGCAAGAAGAATAATTATCGTGGGAAGTTTAATTTGAATTAGAAATTTTGTTTCATTAAACTACTTAATTTTTTCCCTTCTTTTTACAATTAAATTCATTCTTTTATTATTACATTTTATAAATACAAATGTTTTTTTCGAATTTTTGGCTTTGAAGTTAGCTACGCGTAATAGTAACACGCAATAGTATTAATAATATTAATAATATGCTTGAGCTGTCTTTGATGCCTGAGTTTGAAGGTTGATCAATATTGGTACTTGGAACGACCTTTACATAGCACATAAGGCGGATTTGGTGCATGTTTTAATTTTGTTTTCTAATCTTCAAAGAGAACAAATTGAGTAAAAAAATAATTCGAATAAAGCAATAAAGCAAATAAAATGAATAAAAGCGAATAAAACGAATAAAAGTGAATAAAACGAACAAAACGTACAGTCAGAACTCGTTAAGACGATGCCTTGATAAACCGAATATACACGATAAACCGATGTTGTTTTATTATCTACCTATCAAATTTACCTCAATAAGTCGATTTTATTAAGGTTTTTTAAATCGATGTTTTTTTTTTGAAAATATTGACTTTGGTTTAACGAGTTATGACTGTATTTATGAATGGAAACCATGCATTAATACTAAAATCAAAAAAACAACAATAAACAAATAGCTTTGTTCCTTTATTGAATCGATCACACAAGTAGTATATAGTCAATTTAAACAGCGATTTTTAATGTTGCAAAAAAATTTTTTTTTGATACATCAATCTCAGACCAAAATCAATCATATTTTATATACTTTAAAGTTTCTTTATTTCTTTTTTTTTTATAAATAACAAATTTACCCTTTGTTTATTTGTTTTAGTAGATTCAAATAGATTTTATTAAATCAAATGGTACGCTACAGCAAAGTTTCAGATAACCCAAGTGTATCGATTACACTATCAAGTTAACTTATTACAAAGTTACAACAAACAACATAACGTGTTACGAAAATAATTAATATTAATATTAATAAATTAGTTTCGACTAAATAAAACGCTTTCTTAAATCACTAATACTAACCCAAGATTATTCGCTAATGGTAATAAAACTAATTCGTTAGTGATAGCCGATCCACATAATCATAAATTTATATTGTTATCACGCTCTCCCAAATAATAATTGGTGACAATATTATTGCCAACAACAAAAAGGGTGATTTAAAGGTGGTTTTCCCTAATACCGACAAACATCAACATCGACATTATTATTATTTATATTAATTATACAAAAAATTTAATAGCGAGCTTTATATCAATGCGTGCATAATAATAAATTTCCTGGGTTCATAAAATTTTCTGATCCTGATTTCCATTATCGAATATTGCCTAATAAGTATTAGTATTGTACAACAAGATGTTTATGCGCTTTAATATTAAAAATTCTATCGCAAAATTGATCCGCTGATCATGAAAAAAATTTTTATTTGAAAAGAAAATGACTCAACGACCATTTTTTCATTTTTCAAATATTATTTCGCGACAAAATCGTTGCTCCATAAGTTTTAAATCAAGTAATTTATTGATTATTATAAAATTTAATTTTTAAATGACCATTATTACCATAATTATCACTAAACTGTTAATTATTTTCCCGGTGAAAAAAAACAACCTTTTTCACTGAATTCAAAAAGATCTTAAAAGTCACTCACGATGTTACCATACTTCATCAGTATTAACACCAGTAGAACCAAAAACATATGGTCAACCAACTCACGAAACTCATCCTCATATAATGAAATCGGGTGAAGGTAATATAAGAATAATTAATAATATCCAATATATATGCATTTGTATCTTTTGTGAATTAATCAATATCATCAATTAAATAATGAATTTTAGTCAATTTATTTATTTTATAGTAACACCGGGAATATCAGCAGCTGAATATGAGCTAAGAAGAGCTTTATTAATAGAAAAATTACCAGAAAATAGTGTAGCTATTTCGTTAGGATATCGGACAAGATATATGTCAAATAAAGTATTGTTCGTATATATCTATGTATATTTAAGATTAGTTATAATACAAGATCAAGGATGAATATAAAAGAAATGGGAAATATGATATTAACTATACATTATATATTTACAGTTATCCATTTCATCAGAATACCGATTTTTATTATTTAAGTGGTAAATTTAAAAAATTTATTAATTTTAATTGAAAGTTTTATTTTAATTTTTATTGACTAATGATGATGATGAATAGGATTCAATGAACCAGATTCAGCTATAGTTTTAGGTAACTAGCATTAACCATTTCAAATTCAAATTTATTCAAAAAATTTCAAATCTTTAATATAAGTTAATTCATTTCCCAAAAAAAAAAAAACACAAAAAATGTAAGAAAAGAATAATACACGTAGAGGTTATAAGATGACAATGTTTGTACCACCAAAAAATAAGAGTATTGAAATGTGGGATGGACCTAGAACAGGATTAGCTGGTGCAGTTAATATTTTTGGAGCAGATGAGGCAAGAAATTCAAGGCAATTTATTTAATACTTTATTATTATTATCATCATAGTCATTATTATATTATTATTATTATTATTAAATTTATTGGTAAGAAAATATAGTAATGGTTAAATTATCAATAAATTAATTAATTATTATTGTTATTGTTATTATTTATTGTCCCTTTTTTATCTTTTCATCTTTAATCTTCCTTCATCCACTGATCTCCATCACCCATCCACCAATCCACCTTCTCAATTAATAATAGGCAATGGAATCATCAAGGTTTAATTCCAGGATTAAAGAAATAATTAAAAATTATAAAGAGATTTACGTTGATATTCCACCACGGATAAATATATTTTCAACAGATCACATAACAAATATTAATAGAATCACTAATAATGGTAATAATAACAGTGATAACAATGATAATAATAATAATATGATGATGATGATAAAGAGAATGATTAGTAATATTAAATTATCATTGTCATTAATTAATTGGTTGTTTTATAATTATCAAAAATTAATTAATAATAATAATAATAATGACAAGAATTATTATAATAATAATTATTATTATCAAGTAAAACCATTAAGTAGATTGATACAAGACTTAAGACTTGTAAAAAGTGATTCAGAAATAAAATTAATGAAAAAAGCTGGTGAAATTACAGGAAAAGCATTCATTGAAGTAAATATTAATTAATATTTCTATCTATTAATATATTAATTTGTTATTCACCACCACACCTATCTTATAATAAATATCTAACATCTAATTTTCTGTAGACAACCAAGTTTACAAAACCAGGATTATCAGAACATGATTTGTATGCAAAAATAGATTTTGAGTGTAGAATACGTGGAGCACAATTCCTTGCATATGTTCCTGTAGTTGCATGTGGAATCAACGCATTAACTATGCACTATGTAAGGAATGATATGCCATTGCGGTAAATTTAAATCAACAAATATATATTATTCACATATAAATTTATATTCATTCATTTTTGTTTTTATTTAAATTTAATAGTGACGGAGAGTTGGTTTTAATGGATGCTGGAGGTGTAAGTTGATATAGATGATTCAAAATATAAGTATATCAGTATAACATATCAGTAAACATTTTACATAAATTATGATGAACAATTAGGAATATTATGGATATGCAAGTGATATTACAAGAACATGGCCTGTTAATGGAAGATTTACTCAACCACAAAAAGAATTATATGAAGCAGTTTTAAAAGTTAACAGAGAATGTATAAAAGTAAATAAGTAATCAAATAAATATAAATATATGCATTTACATACATTAAATTTATATAATATATATATATACACACACACACACATAACTAGCTTTGTACGGAAGAACAAAACATTTCCTTGAATGGTATACATGAATATTCTGTCAAAATGATGAAGGAGGAATTATCTCCACTCGGATTTGATCTTGTTGAAGGGGTAAAAATGTTAATAATGATGAAATTATAATTTATTTATTTATATCTACTAATACTAATATTCATTTTGTTTATTTATTAAATCAAATTTCATCTAAGGTAAGTGATTGATTTAACTTCATCATCATCACATCTGATAAGATTATAATCTATTTATTTATGTTTACTAAATCTTAATATTCATTTTATTTATTTATTTCTTAATACAATAATTTAATCTAATCTTATCAGATGTGACACAACGTAACATATTATTTACTAATATATTTATTTATTTATTAATTAATTAATGCAGGTAAAATAAATGATTAATTCAATCTTATCTTATCAGATCTGATACAACGCAACATTTATTTATTATATTATTTATATTAATATTCAAATAAAGGATGTTGATCGTGTCTTGTACCCACACCATGTTGGACATTATCTCGGATTGGATGTTCATGACACACATGACATTGATCGTTCAAAAATATTGAGAAAAGGAATGGTTATAACTATTGGTATTTATTTATTTATTAATTTATTTTCACCTGATCACTTTTCTGGTTTTTATTTATTTATATGAACTTTTAAATAATTGTGCTATAGAGCCAGGAATATACGTTCCTCGTAATAAAGCGTACCCAGAACAGTATCACGGAATGGGCATACGTATAGAAGATAACGTGTTGGTCGGGGAAAGTGATCCGATCGTGTTGAGTTCTAGTGCACCAAAAGAAATTGTTGATATTGAATATTGTATGAACAAATAAATAAACAAACAACAAACAAACGAATGAATCTAGAATCTAGAAGATTAATAATTTTATTTTTAATTTTTACTTTTGCCAAGAAATAAATTAAAAATTAAATTATTTTCATAACAAGTTTTTAATTGTAAAAATTTATTTTACTTTTTTTTGCCTTGTTATTATTATTTATCTTTTTTTCCTCATCAACTTATTATTAAAAGAATAAGAAAAAATGCAAAAAATAAAAGAACTTTCGCAAATTTAAGATTTTATCGTGTAACAACCACCACTACTACGTCAATAAACAACAAATATCTTTTTTAGGTTTCAAGTGTTAGTGTAAGTGTATGCTCTAAAAGGAATTTTTAATTTATTATTTTCCATTTTGTTGTTAAGAAAATTTATATGAACTTTATTATAAAAATAAAAGTAACTCGTATAAATAAATTTTTTTTTAAAATAATCAACAGAAATAAAACTATCAATTAAATTAGATAGTATAAAAAAATTAAAGTTTTTTTTCTTGTTACATAACTTCTAGCCAAAGAATCAAACAATAAATAATAAATAAATGAGTCGGATGAGATGAATTGTTGTTTAGTACGTGCTTGATTAATCAATCTTTGATTAATTAATAATCATATTCAAATAATTGCTAGTTATAAATGATAAATATTTTATTTCGTTTGTTTTGATTTTTTCATCGATAACTATATGCATTATTATTATTATATTTATATTTATATTATAATAATATCTAATTCTAATAATAATTATCACTTTTATACCACCATATTTTTTTATAATATACCATACTATCATCCCCCTATCATCTCCACCACTCTCCACTTTTCTCATATTTATTAATCAATTTTATTTTTATCTTGCGCGTTTTTAGCAGCAATTTTTTTTGAAACAGTCCAAAAAATCCAAAAACTTCCAATTAGAACAACTAATATTGTCCATAGTTCAACAATCTTTAAATGATTCAATTGACCAATTGGTACTTTAACTAATTCTATTGGCCAATGGTTTTGTTGTATGGGTAGAATATATTTAATTTGTTTTCTTTTATTATTATAAAAAAGTGATAATGGTAATGGTGTTTGTGAAAATAACGGATCTTTTATCACAATCCAAAAATAATTAAAAATTAATATTATTAATATTATAGCATTTATAATTACAATTATACTGCATTAAATATTTACCTGGTTTGTCAATATTATTATTCTTATTGTTATTCTTGTTATTATTTGATTTTTCATCACATAAACAAACTACCAAAGGCCATGGAACACTAACTGTTACATGACTATAATTATCATCATCATTATTATTATGCTGATGATATTTTCTTGTATCACCAATACTAACACCACTCCTTTTTTTTTTCTTAGTTCCTCCACCTTCTTTATCTTCCGTTATCATGATTGTGGAAGATGGTGATGATTGTAATTTATTTTTTGATGATGATGATGAAAATATAGATAATAATAATGTGGTCAGTGATGATGATAGTGTATTAGTAGTAGGTAAGGGTGGTTGATATCTTAAATGTAAAGGAAACCTAAACACATCACCATTTATCATCATCTTCTGACTAATAATTGCAACGTTGCCCCATCTTAATGATTTATCACCAACTGGACTTTCTAGATTCATTTCACCAAATATTTCAATCCTTTTATTATCATTTATGTCATTTGAGTCATCTAATTGATATTTATCAACAATAAAAGTATTTGGTATGATATGAATAAATAATAATTTACAAGTTTCCTCATCTTCCATTCCTTTTATTTCATCATTGTCACCCTTGACAGTGGTATGGAAATTAGTATGAAATGTTTGATTTGGTGACAGAACAGAATTGAAAGAATAATTTAATGCAGGAGGTACACGATCATTTGGAACTGTTAACAGCGTTTCTATAAATTTAAATTTTTGATGCTGTTGTTCAAATAATAATCTTGCTCCATAAAATGATTCATCATCAAATTTATCCCAAAATATTCCTATTTCCAATTTATAACCATCATCATTATTATCATTTTATAATTATTTTTATTATTAATATTAATAAACTCTTTAACAATCTTTATGCCCTGATTCTCATATTTCCATAGAAATCTGAGATCCATCATTGGTTTTTGAATTTTTTCATCAAATTTTAAATTAAAATCTAAATGTACTATTACTATTATTGTTGTTATTATCTTGAATTAGATAGTTTATTAGAATTGAAGATAATGATAAAGAAGGAGTATTTGAAGAGTAAAAATAATATTGTCCATTTTCCAATGATATTGATTGTGAGACATCAATAGGTTTCTTTTCCCTTGAAAAAATAATTGTTGCTGTTGTTGATAGGATTCACAATTAAAAATACCAAATAGTTTATCAAGTAATTGACACAATTTTGAAATATCTGCTAAATCATTTTCCTCTTCTACCTTTTCTACTGATCCAATCAAAAAGCCTACATGAACACCTGGAATAGGCAACACATTAAAGGATGTTGAAATATACTACTACTTTCATATCCTTTATTCTCAACACCACCATCCTCATTGTTTCTTTTATTCTTCCGCAACTCTTCTTCCTCCTCCTCTTCCTACATCATAATCTGAACTCTAGCTGACCATCCAGTTTTCCAATCAGAAAATAGTAACAGATCATTATTGCCATTGTTATTATTATTAATAAAAAAATTTTCAAGTGGTTTATAAATCTTCAATTCCCTAATTCCAATAAAATCTTTAATCAAGGCACAATTTTTTTCTGGGATCTGTATTTTATCATTTATAAAGAATTGTCATCATTAACTGCTGCTTGCTAGAACTTTATCAAAAAAAAAAATGTTTGTCAATGTCTAGTTAAATGTGATGATGGAGATGGAGATGGAGATTAAGATACTAGAAAAAAAAATTATTAGTAAATTAATAATTATAAAAACAAATTGATAATATTTTTTTATCAGATAGATAATCAGATAATCCATTCACCATTCATGCATATCACAAACAATCATCACATTTTGATAAAATCGAATTCCTACTAACCCCAACGTGTAACGCGGAATAATCAATAAAAGGCGTAATATTTTTTGTTTTTTATTCAGTATGTGCGAAAAATAACTTAATTCGTATAAATAAACGTCGCATCATTACATCAACAATTATAATATAAAATATAGGTTAAAGAAGCAAACTAGTAAATCTTATACCTCTCTTTACAATAAAATTCCTTTTAAAGTATTCTTCAAAGTTTTATTTTAAGAATGTGTTGTTATGAATAAATAAATAAATAATAATAATAAATAAATAAATAAAAAAATAAATAAAAAAAATACTTTCGGTACGTGTCCCATAGATTCGTGAAATGAGGTTTGACTGTATTTTTTTCTTATATAAAACTAACCAGCTTTTTTCAAAAAAATATAATTTTCCAAACAATATTTATTTAAAAAATATTTCTATATTTTTTTTTAATCAAAACAAAATGAGTGATCAAGAAAATAATGTTTTTCTCACCTCAATTTCTCCCCCTCCAACCCGTCCTACTCATTCTAATGATATTAGTAATATTATTGGTAGTAGTGATAATAATAGTAACAATTATAATGTACCTGATATTAGTACTTTTGATGGAAATTTTAATCTAAATGATATTAATAATCATCCTCGACCTTTACCTCTTGGAACACAACAATATGTGATTCCACAACAGCCACAACCTCTTTTTACACCAAATTGTCAAGTATGCTATAATCAAAATGAGCCCATTATTCCCAAACCAGATAATTATATGACGGGAATTATTGATACTGATCTTGTTTATCAAGCTGCAAACCTTCCAATTTCAAACAACAACCATACTTTTAATCATTCCCATGATTTACTACCCCATCATCAAAATAGACCTCCACAACTCACATTACCGATACAACAACAACAACAACAACAACAACATTCTCAAATTTTTATTCAGCGGCCTCCCTTTCCACTAGATTTAAACAACAACCATATTTGTAATTATCCCAATGATTTACTATCCCAACATCCACAACTCACATCATTGCCATCGCTACCAACACAGCAACAACAACATTCTCAAATCTTTATTCAGCAACCTCCCTTTTCACTAGAAACAAATCATATAAATTCACGTACTCGAGAAAATATTCATCAATTGGAAACTTTATTACATCAATTCAATGTTATAGTGAGAAGCATCAATGA